TAAATCCATGCAAATTTAAACAAATAAAATAAAAAATATTAAGTTCGGCCTGGCCAAACTTTTAATACCCTCCACCTTAGGGTAAAAGAAACATTAGAAGAAATGTGGCGAATATCGGGAGGTACCGTTATATGGGGGCTACACCAAAACGTGGAACGTGGACGTGAATTACAATGTTTCGCCACACGAACAAGGACCCATTATGACCCACAAATACCAATTTTTAGACAAATCAGTGAAAAAATGTGGCTAAAAACTAAAATACCGAATATCGGGAGGTACCGTTATATGGGGGCTATACCAAATCATGAACCCATACATGCAATGTTTCGCCACGGGAGCTGGAACCCATTATGACCAACAAATACCAATTTTCAGACAAATCCGTGAAAAAATGTGGCAAAAATTATCAAATTACCGAATATCGGGAGGTAACGTTATATGGGGGCTATACCAAACCATGGACCCATACATGCAATGTTTCGCCACCGGAGCTGGAAACCATTATGACCCACAAATACCAATTTTTAGACAAATCCGTTAAAAAAATGTGGAAAAAAAATAAAATACCGAATATCGGGAGGTACCTTTATATGGGGGCTATACCAAAACGTGGACCTATACATGCAATGTTTTGCCACACGCACAGGGACCCGTTATGACCTACAAATACCAATTTTCAGACAAATCCGTGAAAAAATATGGCATAAATCATCAAAATACCGAATATCGGGAGGTACCGTTATATGGAGACTATACCAGAACGTGGACCGATATAACTCATTTTCAATACCAACCATCCTAGACACAATGCAAATTGCTCTGCCAAATTTTGGCGCTCTACGTCAAATAATGTGGGCTGTATCGTGATTTCAACACACAGACGGACAGACAGACAGACAGACAGACGGACATTGTTATATCGTCTAAGAATTTTATGCTGATTATGAATATATATACTTTATGGGGTCTAAGATGAATATTTACAAACGGAATGACAAAGTTAATATACCCTCCTTTCCAAGGTGGAGGGTATAAAAATAACCAACCCAATGTTAAGTTACCTTTCTCTTTGTGTCCTTACCTATCTAAATAAGACCCATCCATATAACCCAATGTACGAGTTTTACAACAATAGCGGATATTTATAAATAAATTTTCTTCTAACAGCGATCTAAAGCATTTAAAGAAATTGAATTTGATATATTAAGAGCGCGATATGGATAGCGATCCTCCAGCAAGGACAACTAATCGGAACCGCTTTCACATTTCCTCGAGATAGAATTCATTAACCGATCTATGTAGCTTTCAGGTTATGTTTATTCATTCGTCCAATCTATTGCGATACATCCGATTTGGTCCCAACTTTATATTTCTGTCAAAAGTATATTGCATTTTAAGTCGGGCACTATAGAACCAAGTCCTCGTATAAACTTAAAATCAAAAGTTTCTACCAAAACATTCCTCATATCAAAAAGAAATTGATGGGGAAATTTGCGGTATCTATTTAGATTACTTTGCGAAAAAAATTAAAACTTCGTTCGCATGTGTTCTCTTTTTAGCTCTACTTTCAAAACCAATGGATTTTTATATCTCCTTTTGGAAAAAAAAAACAAGTAAAAAAGCTGCAAGTTCGGCCGGGCCCAACTTTGAATACCATCTACCATATTAGAACGAATTTGGCATTTTCAAAAAGCCAAAAAACCGTTAAAAATTCCTTTATACTCTTAAAACTACCGATGGGGGCTATACGAAAACGTGGACCTGTATAGACAATTTTCTGTTTTAGGCTTTAGTATCCATTTCGAACTCCAAATAAATTAAACGGATGAATATTATCGCTAAAATCATCAGAATACCGAATATCGGGAGGTACCATTATATGGGGGCTATACAAAGGCGTGGATCTGCACCGACAATTTTCTGTCATAGGCTGTAGTATCCATTTCGAACTTCAAATACCAAATATGAAACTTTTCCGTTGAATATTATCGCTAAAATCATCAAAATGCCGAAAAGCGGAAGGTACCGTTATATGGGGGCTATACGAAGGCTGTAGTATCCATTTCGAACTTCAAATACCAAATTTGAAACTTTTCCGATGAATATTATCGCTAAAATCATCAAAATACCGAATTTCGGGAGGTACCATTATATGGGGGCCATACAAAGGCGTGGATCTGCAACGACAACTTTCTGTCATAGGCTGTAGTATCTAGTAAGAACTTCAAATGCCAAATTTGAAACTTTTCCGATGAATATTATCGCTAAAATCATCAGAATACCGAATATCGGGAGGTACCATTATATGGGGGCTATACAAAGGCGTGGATCTGCACCGACAATTTTCTGTCATAGGCTGTAGTATCCATTTCGAACTTCAAATACCAAATATGAAACTTTTCCGTTGAATATTATCGCTAAAATCATCAAAATGCCGAAAAGCGGAAGGTACCGTTATATGGGGGCTATACGAAGACGTGGATCTGCACCGACAATTTTCTGTCATAGGCTGTAGTATCCATTTCGAACTTCAAATACCAAATTTGAAACTCTTCCGGTGAATTATGTCGCTTAAATCACTAAAATACCGAAAATAGGGAGGTACCATTATATGAGGGCTATACCAAAACGTGGACCTAAATGGCCCATTTTCAATACCAAGATTCCGGCAGACATAATATATATTTGAGCAAAATTCTATCAACCTACTTCATTTCGTTCGGAAGCTAAAGTGATTTCCAAGTCGACATAGAATTTTTGTGTTGATCAAGAATATATATATATATATATACTCTGTGGGGTCTGAAATGTATGTTTCGAGGTCCATGGATGGCCTAATAAATAGAGACTCTATTTTTCTCGAAGAGAATACCGAATGTGAATTTTCAAGAACAAAGATTTTTTTCGAAAAAAAAAAAAATATTTAAAATTTTAAAACTAAAATAAAAACCAAAATTAACAAACCTTTTGTTTAAATCCAATTGTGGCCAATTAAAACAACAAATAAATTTCATTTTTGTTGTTCTTTGTTTGTTTCAAATTTAATTTAATAGGTTTCAAAAATTCCAATTAAACGAAATTTTTAATTTAGAATTTTTTTTGTTTTGTTTTGTTTTAGATAAATGTAAATTTAAAATTTAGTATACATAAAAATTATTTTTACTAATTTGTAAGATGCTTTAGAAGTTATGTTCTCTTTCCTTATTTTATTAAGTATACCAGCGCAGTTGTTTTATTTATTTATTCTGAAAAAAACATTTTCAGCAAGGTTTTTGGTTTAAAATTCTTTTAATATGTTTCTTAGATAATAAAATAAAATTTTAAAAGAAAAAAATATTTTTTTGTAAAATTCTTTTAATATGCTTATTAGATAATAAAATAAAATTTTAGAAGAAAAAAAATATATACTGGTAGGGTAGAAGAATGTAGGTGAGCGATTTTTAAAGAAACTAAAATCATGAAAAGGAAAATAAAAAGAAATGTTATCATTCATAGCCACCGCAATTAAAGAATTATACTAAAATGTTCCTAACGGCTTCATGGTTTGGTGGCCCTACTTTGACATTTTATTGACCAGAAAAATCCCATATTCAAATTCAACTGGAAGTAATGTTGAAAAATTCAGCCAATATCTATTGAATATTAATAAAGGAGGAATATATTGAAATTACTAAGATCTCTACAGAGTGATATGAAAAAACTCCAACCAAATTCTGACTGCTGTCGTTTCTAAGTCATTCGTCCGACAGCTGTTAAAATTACTCCAGTGACAGCTCATTATATTGTTTACAACCGTACAAAAGCATTTTGGTGAGAATTTTCCCTACAAAAAAAGTTATTCGTAATGGAATTCAAATGTGATTTATTTATATTTGGCTGGAAAACAACAAGTGGCTATCGTTAGAGCACTCCAGCAATTAAATGGGAATAAACGTTTTGTGTCACGCTCCCTCGCTCGTTACCGTGATACTGGTAGCGTAGCCTGACGTAAAGGAAGTGGACTGAAGAAAACAGCAACATCAGCAGAAATGGTTCGAAAATAAAGAAGCGACTTGATCGAAACCCGCGTCGCAGTGGCCGAAAAATGGCTCCTGAGCTGAACGTATCCCAATATTCCATTCGGCAAATTTTGAAAAATGAGATCAGTGTAAAGCCATTGAAATTCCAAAAAGTGCAAGAATTTACACCGCAACAGAAAGAAAATAGACTCAAAAAAGATAAAGAGTTGTTTCGCTTGGCCCAAAGTTGTGAACAGCCGAATCTCCGGATACCAATCCGTTGGACTATTGTGTCTGGAGTATTTTGGAAAGCAAGGTTGGCACTAAAAAAATACCAAAGTGTCGGTCACCTCAAGCAAGCGCTTCGCCGGGAATGGGTCAAAATACCGCAGAGCAATATTCTGGCAGCGTGTGACGGTTTCATTGGCCGTTTGAAGGTCATAATTCGTGTCAAACGTGGCCAATTTGAACAAATCTAAACTCAGGCCGACTATCACAAATGTATTTTTTCCTGCAAAATGTGAAAAAAAACTTCCAGATAAAAAACTTTCTGCGTAACTCCCTGTTCCCTGGCTTCTTTGTGGTCTTTGTAATGCAGATCCAGATTTCGCACTATTTCCTTTTTCCAAGGATCTTTGACTTATTCCGGTCTAAAAATACCGAATCGATAGGTCGTTGAACGAACTAGTCATCAGGATAATGCTTTTTATTTTTTTTTTTCTGCCGCAAAATGCTTTTAAGAATTCCCAAGGTAGCCGTTGAAAACTTCGAGCCCACACCCAATTAAATTCGAAAAAAAAAAATATTTTTCCAGAATTTCAAAGCACATGCCAGGTTAAGATTGGCATTTAAAAAAGATTTCGATTTTAGATTTTCGAATTTCCTACCAAAAACATAAAATGGCAACCCTAGTAATACGGCCATCAATGTCATGGACATTTAAAGCAAACACTGACCATCTAATAAAAAAATTAAAATGAAATAAAAGAAACAAAGATATTGGTTTGCAAAAAATTGAAATTCAAATAAGGTTTTATTTTTGTTGTTTTTTATGTTGGTTTTTGTTTTCATGGTGTGTGTGTGTGTGTTTTTAAAGTCTTTTTCTTAAATATCTCCAACAAAACAAATTGAAGGAAATATATATATATATAAAATTAAATTGTTATAGCTATTAGATACGAGGATTTGGGGGGAGAGAAACAAATAATAATGTAAGGTAGTAAATGTGGGTGTGAGTGCTGATCTCGATTTTCCATTTTTTCTTTCTTTCATTCTTCACATAAACATTTAAATTTTGTAATAATTAATATAAATATGAATAGCATAGGATTAAATTGATTTACAAACAAAAAAAATATAATAATTAATATAAATTTATAAATAAACGAAAAATAATATAACACAAAGAATAAGAGAGATAGAAAAAAGTTGGAAAACAAAACAAAAATAAGTTTAACACATTTCTGGGGTTTTCTTTTTTCAAGAAGAAGAAACAAAAAAAAACAAAACAAAATTGTTTCCTTTTCTATTTTTCAAATAAAACAAAAAATTAACAAAATGTGAAGGGGGCCTGGGAAAAAAGGGGAATTAAATTATATCGAATAAAGCCAAAAATATTTGTTTTATGTTTCAACAATTCACAGTACCAAAAAAGAGAGCTATTATTTGTTTAATTTATCCTTTTATCCATCTTCTTCTGTTTGTTTTGTTTCATCTGTTTCATTTCTCTTTTGTTTTAAATTAAAAATTAAACATAAATTAAATAAATTATTATAACTGTAAATGTGTTTTGGGATTTGGGGAGTTTTTTGTTTTGTTTTACGTTTTACAATTAAATTAAAATATATGCCTTGTATGTTTTTTTTTTGGTTTTAATTAGAATTAATTTTTGTTTAAATTATCAATTAAGGGGAGGTTTTTATACAAGTTTTTGTGGGGGAGGGGGTGATTTCAGAGGGATAAATGGTGCTGTCAGAATATTCAAAAGAAATTTACAACTTTTTTCGGAAAATACTCAAAATTATTGACTAATGCGATGAAATTAGTTCCGGTTTCTCGCAACACCATTTTCCTTCGAAGTTTGGGGGAGGGGGAGTGGTTTGGGGAAATATTTGTTTTATTTAAAATCTACACCTTACAAAGAGAGATGATGAATGGCCACAGCAAAAAGAATCCCTATTGAAAATTTTGTAAAAATGTTTTCAAAACGTTTCTTTTGCCGCCAATTTTTCTTCCCTCTACATAGATAATCCTTAAATGTAATAGTAGTTGGTTTCTTTTTCGATATTTTTCTGTGTGTGTGTATATATAAGTTTGTTTTTTCTGTGTGTATATAAGTTTCCTTCTTTTTCTTGGTTGTTGTTTATTTTTCTTATTCTTTGTTTATAAACTAATGTATTTTACGTAAATTTCTTTCAATATTTATATAAATTGTTTTATTAATTTCACTTTCATTTATGGGTTAGACAAATAATTTCATTTCAATCAAATAAATCCAAATCCATTCAGCCATAAACTGTTTTCAGTCTAAAGTCTAATTACTTGGATATTTTCAATGAATTGAAATTATTGTATTCGCCCGATGTAATTGTATTTAGATTAGTTTATTAATGTTACATATGCTTGTGTGTATATTTTCACCGTTTGTTTTTTCGCTAAATTTTTGCTAAATTGCTTAAACTTTAGAAGGTTAGTTGTGGTTTTGTTTTGTTTTTTTTTTTTTTTCATTTTCTTTTTAAGGGAGATATGAGGAAATTGTACAGAGGAGTAGGGGGTAAATGGATTATGTGAGGATATTCATGAGGGATGTGGGGGTTATTATTTAATATTTTAGTGATATAATTAATAAATACTTTCTAAGATAAATTATAATTACTTTTTTCGTTCTTATGTTTGTTTTGCAATTGAGACTATCTAGAGTTGGTTTGTTTTCTGTTTTTCTTTTCTCTTTTGTTTAGTAGCAATATTATTATTATAATTACTTTACTTCCTTTCAGCTAATTTCTTATATAATTAAGCTTATGTATGTTTATTATTAATAATTATATTTAATTTTATTACGAATATTATTATTACCAAAAAATAAAGAACTTATAAATGTAATAAAGTGGTGTTTTGTAAATAAATTATATTAGGTTTTCTTTTTTTAGTTGTTTTAAATAATTATGCTATAATAATATTTATAAAGTATAAAGGATTTTTGGGGGTTTTGTTTTGTTTTGTTTTCAATAGGTTTTGCGGTTTTGAACTAAAATTTGTTCTAAATAAAAAATTAAATTTAAATAATTTTTCTATGAGAGTTTAAGGGCTGGTATTTTCAGTTTTATTTTCTCAGTATAATTTATTATTATTATTTAGTATTTTAATAATTATTATTTTTATTTGTTGTTGTTGTTGTATATGTTGTGGTTTTCTTGTTGGTTTTATTCCATTTCACTTCCCATTGCTTATCGTTTTCGCTAAATGATTATCCTTGAGAGCCACCCACCCATTCCATCCATTTTCCTTATTAATTAATATTACTATTAGTAATTAAAAAAAAAAAAACAGCAAAGTCTATTTAATTTGAGGCCGTTTTCAATATTGTAAACGGCGCTGTCAGTAATGATGATGTCTTGTGGGCTATTGACGATGACGACGATATGGCTGAGGAGGTTTTCACTGCCACCGAACTCGTTGAATGACTGTGATGGTTATTGTTGTTATTACTATGGTTATTGTTATTCAGATTCATTGCCATTCTTGCATTGGAGTTGGTTGTATTGGAGGTGGATGATGACGAGGCTGTCGAACAGGACGATGAGGTGGATGGTGAGGAGGAAACAATACCAGCAGCAGCATTTGAATTTGAGGTATTTATTTGTTCTTTATAGGTAAGATGATGCATTTTCTCAATAGCTGCCACCCATTCAAGGCCGAAACCTTCAGGATCATCCAGATAATAGGTACGATTGGGCTACAAAGACAGAAAGGAAAAAAGTTCATTATTATTAAATTCATGTGATATTATAAAGATAGGCATGTCCAAAGGTCAAAAGAGATAAGATGAGAATGCTATCCCTTAAAAGTCTAAAAAACTTTGTATGGAGAACTAAATTTAAATAACGGAAAGTAATCTTTCAAAAAAGAGGAGTTGATTTTCTATATTCTTTTTCTAATTTTATATTATTGCATAATTCCACTTTTTCGATTTCGATGCAATCGATATTCATATTGTGCTTTGTATATCACGTGTTGTATGAATGACAACCTGATGTTTTGCTGTTGTTGTTATTTTTGTACTAATGAACTCGTTTTGCTTTCGCAGACTTTAATACGCCACTTGAGCAGACCACCGAAACGAATGCAAATCAGGCTGATGTGTTATTTCAAATAAATATAAATACTCTGGCCTTAAATATTCTTAGCAAATCAAACGGTGTTGAAGCGAACAATATTCAAAAAAAAAAAAAAAAAAAAAAAAAAAAAAAAAAAAACTATTTTTAGGACCAGTTTCAAAAATAGACAAGAAATTAGGAACTTCAATATTAAGGTTTTCATATGCGATATTCGAATATTCCAATGATAACAATTACTAAAAATATATATATGAATTATTGTAAAATTGTTTTGAAAATTGCATACTTTAAAAAACTAATTTTTGTGATTTGAAAATTTCTTGAAATCAAATTAAAAAAATGAAAATTTAAACTATCTCGTATCTTTTGCCGATCATCATGATAACTTGTCTCTTTCTCATAATTATATTCAACAAAGTGTGGCATTAATTCAAATATGTGAACAAAGTTATCAAACGAATAGAAAATATCGATAATGCCTGTCATCATGTGTTGTTGATATATTTTTGTTTTAAACTTCAGCAGTTATTTGTTTTCAATTTGTTAATAACAATTCTTAAATGAAATGCATGCTCAGTGCACATGTCTAGATTATCTCGTTATTTAGATTTTTTATTTTTTAAAACCAAACGATTCCAAAGAAAGTACCTTATCTAGATGATGTATACATTATTATTAAATTTAATTTGATACATTCCATACTGACTGAATTGTTTTATTTCTATTCTATTTTTTAAGAAAATGATTCATTTTCATCATTTTTTATTTATATTCGAAAAAAAGAGTATGACGTCACGGCAACGCTGAAGACCAATACAAATAGATAATTTGCACAACTCTTATTGATGATTATGTCAATGAGTGGGAGCATAATAAGTAACCACAATTGAAAGGCAAGTCAGCGAGAAAGGAAGAAGTGGCATAACAAAAAGAAATTCACATCACGTATGTGCTTGATTTAATTTTAGAAAGAAAAAAATTATAGATGAAAATAATTTCAGCATTTATGGGAAATTTGGTGCGTGTGTTCTTCTTCGTTGTGGTTTAATTTGTGGCAAATATTCCAGAATTATTTATTTTTAAAGTGCCATAAAAATTCCAAAAGAACAAGTCCATGAAATGCCAGGGAAGAATATTCAATCATATCTAAGAAAAGAGTGTGCAAATATTTAAAAAGAAATGGCAAATTTCTGGATTAAAAGATTTCTTTGAACACTCCTGAAAGAATTGAAAACTAATTTGAAATATACTTTGTTAATTTCTCAAATGAGCCCAAATGTTTGAAATTCATGGCCCTCCTTTAGCCTAATTTCTGTCCCTCAGTCATTCCAAAATACATAATACATGTCCTCCCATAAAGCCAACCAACTTACCGTATGCACAAAGAAAATTTTGAAATTTTTGGCTTCAGCACGCAATTCCGGACTCCAGGGAATTTCTCCCTTTTTCACCATCTGCACGGGATCGATATAGATGAGATGGGGTCCGGTGGTTAGCAAAAGCATGCGGCGTCTGGCAAACAGGCCTTTGCGTTTGTTGACAAAGCCTTTCTTTAAAATGACCTCACCCTCGGCGAAGACATGCCATTTGTCCGATTTTTGGGCCTCCAAACGTTTGTGTTTCTCCATGTCGGATAAATCAAAACTGTCTGCAATAGAAACAGATATTTTTTTTATTAATAACAGCTAAAATATGAATATAAATTTCACTTACTTTTTGCCGACTTTTGATAGTTGTTGGGTGTTGAGGGCTTTGGCTGTGTTGACGCTGATGTTGTGGAATTAATCGATTTGGGTTTACTGCTGGCCGAAGAGCCACCACTCATTTTACGTTCGTAGGTATCATCATCACTGATGCAACCCAATTCCTTGCCCAATAGCCGGGTCAATTGTTTGTCATCCAGGCCGGGTTCCAAATTGTCACACAACATAAACTCGTTCTCCTCCTCTCGCACCAGATCCGGCAAATAGGGTGATATGGCTGGTGGTGTTGTCTGGCGTACGGCCTCAAAATCAACATTTTTGAAGAAGGGATGGGAACGTATGCTATCATATTGCCCGCTGGTGTCTTGGGCACCCAAACGTTCGGCTGGATTCAGTTTTAGCAGTTTTTTGACTAGATCCTCGGCATCCTTGTCGAAACCTTGGGGAAAATCTAAATTGCAGGCAATGATTTCTTTGAATATGACATAGTCATTGGAGCCACGGAATGGTGGTAGGCCCGACATCATTTGATAGATGATACAGCCCAGAGCCCACAGATCGGCGGCGGGAGTGATTGGGGCATTTTGCAAGACTTCGGGAGAGACATATTGCGCTGTGCCCACAAAACTGCCACGACGTTTTCGATGATAACGAGGTGCTGGCGCCTGATGGCGTCTGGCACGCGGTGAATCGGTTTCACCACCTGTCTCAGCATCACCACAGCTACCTGATGACCCAGTCGATTCGTAATCTTCATCATCATCATTGTAATCATCATCATCACTGCGCATACTACCACCCGATTGACATCTGGCTTTTTTGGCTAAATCAATGCCGCCGGACAGCAGAAATTCCTGGGCCTGGGCCTTCTCCTCGGCCGACAAGATTTTCACCGAACCAAAATCGGCAATCAACGTATGCATATCCTCGTCCAACAATATATTCTCCGGCTTCAAATCGCGATGCACAATATTGCGTCGATGCATCTGCTCACAGGCTAATACTAATTCGGCAGCATAGTGGCGTGTTGAGTCGATATCGAAGGAACCAACTTTATTGATATATGGCAATAGATCACCATTTTTGGCAAAGGTCATAACAAAGTAGAGTGAACGGGCATCTTGGAAGGTGCAGGACAGATTCACAAAACCAGGAACATTTGTCAGTGTGTGCATAACCTCTCGCTCGCGACGGATGTATTCTTGTTTGTGTTCGCGTAAAATTAGGCGCTTTTCGCAGACTTTAACTGGAATAAAAGAGAGGGAGAGAGGAGAGAAATTGGTTAGTTATTGTTCAAAATTAATGAGAGGAGAATAATTATAGAGAATACTTTTTGTGAGAAAATTCGGGTAGTAATTAAGAAAGAGTTGTTGTTATTACAGCCTCCAGTTTTTGTTACAATACGGACTGGGTCGAGTTGAACTCGGCTCGATACCTGCTATTGTGAGAACGCCGTAAGTGACATATAAAATATTCTAAATTTCCAAAATAAAACAAAAGCTTTCAAAACAACAATCATCAACATGAAGAGAATTAAACAAACAATTGCAGCAGGACAAGATATGAATGAAAATAAGAAAAAAAAAGAAAACAGAATGACAGCTTTATTTAGCGGGATTTCTGTGCAGAATTTTGTTGTCCAGAGATTTTTGTCGCAAACAGAAAGTCGTCGTCGTTGCTGTCACACACAAATGGTGAATAAACTTTTGTTATACAGAGATTAAACAACCTTGAACTTAAGCAGAATCCCAAAATACAATAACAGTAAAAAAGCGACTTGTACAAAAAAAAATAAAATGATGATGATAAACAAAAATAATAACAACAACAGCAACATAATAAAACGGTGCAATACGATTGAAGTGAAATTTTTGTAACTAACATGCTTTGCAAATGGCTGAAGGGGCAGGGGACATATTATAACTCGTGTTTACTTTCCTCCTTCCCTTAGCAAATTAATAAATAAAAATATGAAAATGATAAGACCGACCATCATCATAAATTGATTGATTCTCAATAAAAACAAAATGAACGAACGAAAAACACTGATAAGAATGCTGAGACATGTTTAACAACAACGTTTTTTTAATATTTGTAAATATTTAAAAAAAAAATAATTTTTTGCCAAAATCAGCAACAACATTTCGAGGCACACACCCGTCTTCCCTCCTCTTCTCGTGTGTATGTAATTTGAATACAATGTTGTTTATCGCTTGTTATTTATTTAGTCATTGTATAAATCGCTAGTAATATTAGTGTGTGAATCAAACCATAACTTATTTGGGCGGAAGGTAAATAACCTCCAGGAGCTCACTTTTTGTTTGTCACTCAGAGGGGTTGTTCAACTCGTTACAATGTGAAAAATGTATAACAATTATCACCAAGTAATTTGTAATTTTCAATTTTGTTTTTTTCGAATTGGAAATTTTGGACATAAATAAAGATATCCCTCAAAATTTTTGTTAACATGAATTTTTGGCAAAAGTCCTTTATTTCAGTAGACTATAGATAAATACATGTATGTTGGGGGAAAAATCAAAAATTTCCCGTTTGGGAAATTCCTTTATTTCACTAAATTATAGATAAATACATGTATGTTGGGGGAAAAATCAAAAATTTCCTGTTTGGGAAATTTTTCGTTTTCAACGAAAAATAGTATTTTTCATCGAAACAAAATTGTGCGTGAAAAAAATTCATCTTCGGTCCGAAATGAAAATTTCCCTCAAGGGAATTTTTTTATGAATATTTCTGTTTTCAATGGAAACTGAATTTTTCCATCGCAAAATAAACAAATATAAAAATATATATTTTTTAATTTCCAATTGGAAATTTAAATATTTCAGTTATAATAAAAATTATTAAAAACAACATTTTTTTTAAATGTTTGTAATATTTGTTTTTTTTTTTTTATAAATTCAATTTTATTTCTAACATTTCCCAAACAATATTGAATTCCCAAAATTTGGCAAACATGAAATTAATACCAAAATTAAAAAAAATAAATAAACATAAATTTGAATGACATTTTCTTGCAAAAAACCTTGCCAACGAAATATGTACTATATCGTCAGGCGCCGTCGATCACAAGACTCATCGATGATCGTCGTCGACACAATAATACCACCACCTACTTTTTTCGCCACCTGTTACTAACCCGCAAAAAAAATATGTATACATGGAATAAAATAACACAACCGAACTATAAAAAACCTCTATTATCCAAAGAAACAACAACACCAAAGGCGGGGTCTTCTGCAAAATAAATTCATTGATATAATAAATATATAAATTCATAGATATATAAATTCATTGATATCATCTTTTCTTTTTCTTTGAAAACATAAACAGACAAAATTTTTGCCATTATAAACAAAACAAAAACATGTTTCCAGAGCAAGAGATATGAGAATTTTCCTAGCCCACCTTTCCAACTGGTAGGATACCAACCAAATTGAGACATTGTCCCCTTTTGATTTCCACAAAAAAATAAAAAAAAACATTTTGATGATAAACAAAAACACAAAAAAAAAAATAAAAAAAATAAAAAAATAAAAAAAATAAAAAAAAAAAAATAAAATAAAAAAAAATAAAATAAAAAAAAATAAAAAAAAAATAAAAAAAAATAAAAATTTACAAAACGTGTGTTATTGACATTTTCGTTGAAAGGTCTTAAACCCAAAGCAATTTAAAAAATAACTGAAATCTAATTTTATGCTTTGTTTACAAAATCTCAAATTAAGTGGCTGGAAATAAGCAAAAAATCGGGTTGTTTTTAAAAGAAAAACACGCATGAAAAATACAAACAAAAAATTACTACTCGTGTTAAATTTTTTTGCAATTTTTTTATTTTTGTTTTTGAAAGTAAATGTTAAATAAAAATGACCTTGAGTCAGCGGGGCCCACAAGAGAAAAACAAAAGTTTTGTTTTTAATAAAATTTTGCCTAACCTTGTGGTAATGACGAGAAAAATAGAGCAACGAAATGATATTTGAAAAATCCAAAATTGGTAATTTTATGGTTTTTTTTTTTGGGACTTGCCATAATTTTTATATAAAGCAAATAAACATGGTGAGATGAAAAAACTGCAACCAACTTCAATTTGGCCGAAAGTGGTGAACTTGCTTTCATTCAATAAAATTAAAAAAATTAAAATTATAGCGTTTGACTTTTGTATACCCATGTAAATGGCAAAAAAGAAAGAGTTTTACTATTTTTTTTTTTTTAAATAATTCAAATTGTTTTGTAGCATTGTAAAGTAGATGGCTCAAAATATCCGACTTTAATGCCTTTTTTTTGTAAAATCGCAAATTACGAAAATTCCAGCATGCCATAACAAATTTTTCAAATTAATCGATACATGTAAATTTTACCGTAGAAAAACGCTCTGAAGTATATCCTATAAATTGTTTTTTATCTTGTAAAATCCATAAAAAATTTTCACTTCCAAGTTTTGCAAGTTCCCACCATTTTATGAAATGACAAAAATACCCAAAAGAGAGAAAAGATATAAAAAAAAAGAACACAAGCATTTTGGCGGGAAAAGTTTTTTTTTTACTTTTTTGAGTTTCAAGCTGTGTGGCTGGTTTGTTGCTGTAGTTGGTGGATAATTTTTTTGTTTCTTTGTAAAAGAAATAAATCACAGCCTGTTGAATTCTCTTGAACCACACGGATACAAGGAGCAGCAATAAAAAAAAATATATATGAAAAGAAGCAAGACAAGACAAGCTCTGTCGGCTAACAGCTAAGAATTGAAGAAAATGAAGAACGAAAATGAAAACGTTCTCATAATAAAGCATAAAACATTGCTCCTTTTCGAATAGGTTTCTTCATTAAAAGCTTGTTTATGAAGTCAAGGTGATGGTGGTGGTGAGATGGCGATGGCGATGGCGTAGTATCATGGTTTAGGGGGGGGAGCCCAGCTTGTGAGTGGTTAGTTCATTGGTTTGTATGTCTTTTTGATTCACTTTTTTGCTGCTGCTGTTGTTGTTGTTGTTATAATGGATTTGTGTTCTGTTTTGGTTGCTTTTTTTATTATTGTGGTGTCAAGTTCAAAAACCTTTTTTCCGTCTCGTTTCTTGTTTTACACACACACACACATACTCAGACATCATGTTGCCAAAGAGAACACCCTATTGAGGAATTAAAAAAAAAATCGCAATCTCTTCTCTCTTTCATGGTCTCCCCTTTATAGGTGGAATAATGCTATGTTTAAATAGCCAGCAAACAAGAACAGACAGTTAAAACCAGACATGAATAATAGTGGCAGTAGTAGTAGTAGTAGTTAAAAATTGTATTACTCTAGGTAAGCAATAAGGGTTCTTGATTTCAATCCTTTCAATGTATTGTTTATTTTATAGTCTGCCGTTGAACTAACCCAAATAGGCAGACAGACAGACAGACAGGCAAAACCAACAGTGCGACAAAAAATCACAAGCAGACAAGTATATGAAGACAAGATCTTGTTTTTTTTTTGGGAGGGAGGGGGGTAATGAACTTGTGAAAAACCAGTAAACGAACTTTGAAATAGAATAAAAATTAAAAACAAAAAGAAGAAAACAATTCTTAAAGAAAATAAAATAATGATTGAAAAACGATATTAAAAAAATATATATATACAGGGTGAGATAAAAAAACTGTAACAAAGTTAAACGCCATAATTTTTACATTTTTTTTTAATTTTATTGATTGAGAGCAAAAAATGTCGGAAATAGCATCAAATTTTAGAATAAGTTTAGATTTGTTCGAATTGGCCACCTTTGGCACGAATTATGGCCTTCAAATGGCCAATGAAACCGTCACACGCTGCCCGAATGTTGCTTTGCGTTATTTTGGCCCATTCCCAGGGAAGCGCTTGCTTCAGGTGATCGAAACTTTGGTATTTTTTTAGTGCCAACCTTGCTTTCCCAAATACTCCAGACACAATAGTCCAACGGATTGGTATCCGGAGATTTTGGTGGCCATTGTGTGCTGGAAATGAACCTCATTTTTAGCCATTCTTGGTGGAGCGTGCTGAGTCCTGTTGGAATGTCCAAGGTCTGCGGCCAAAATGTTTGCATGCCCAAGGCTTTAATACACCTCAAGAATATGTTCGCGATAATATTCGGCATTTATTCTGATGCCACTGTCGATTAATACGAGCGGAGAGCGATCATCGGCTGTTATGGTATGTTATGGTTTTGTGGGAAATTCTCACCAAAAATGCTTTTGTACGCTTGTAAACAATATAATGAGCTGTCACTGGAACAA